CTTCCATCCCTCCCCCCCCCCTAAAATGTTCGTTTTCACGCATTAAATTCATTTTTTTACGAGCGTATAAAAGCAAAACATAGAAGGAAATAGAAACTCACCCAAACCAGAGCCAGGCATGGACATTCCGGCGGCGCCCAAAGACGACGCGAGCGCGGAACTCACAGAGCTCGAGCCGCCCGCGCTCGACGACGACGGCGCCATGGTGAAGTGGGCCGCAGACGACGAGGCGGCAGCCATGGACGACACGACGGCGGCGGCCGACGAAGACGCCACCGACACAGACGGACTAAACAGGCCAGGTGGGTAGCCCGGCGGAAGGCCGCCCATGCCCTGCAGGGCGGCCGGGTTCATCCCGCTCAGCAGGGCTTGAGCTACAAAAGGGGAAGCCACCACAAAAAACAAAGCATTACCAGGGATGAATCCGTGCGAAACCCAACTCGAGTACCAAATTACCAGTACATATACACACACACACAAACACATACGAACAGTACATCGAGAGAGAGACAAAAAAGACGGACAGGGTCCCTTCCACAAGACCGGACAGTTGAGCACAGAGCGGGAACAGAAATTACAGCAGTGGGGGCCCCGACATGCGGACGATTCGATTCAGAGACACTTGATAACTCGAAAAATCTGTCTCGAACATCTGGAGTATGTCTTGAGGTACTCAAACTAAAGCAACGTTTCTAGACACATGGAACATTTCATTTATCAAAATTTTCACATATCTTGAACAAATTGAGCTTTTTATATTCACAAAAATTACAAAAGAAATTGTATGCTAAATTCACTATAAACCCTAGTCCGACACTTTGTATTTTTTTCAAGAGTTCTTTCCATCATCTGAGCACTGTACAGTAGAGCAAGACTTGAGCTCAAATTCTTCGCGTTTTGGGCTCATTTTCACACGAATAGATCAATTTGTGTTCGTCTTTTTTTATTCTTGCACAGCTATCAAGTTGATAGAGAAGTTTCAATTTAATTTTTCTGGGGCACCTTTTCCAAATATTTTGATCAACACGAGAACGAAACAAATATCCTTAATATCATTAAGCGGCCCAAACTTTGAATTTCCATAAATTCACGGTTTAAAAAAAATTTTCAGTCTCAGTCCGGTAGCATCAATGTTATTTCAATTTCGTTTCAACGAATTTTTGTTTATAACGGAGCCTTTGCAGGGTTCCAAACGCTTCATCGCAAGGAGATTCCACTGTTCAACATTCCCACTAAAGTTTCAGGGAAAATGTGATCCATCATGCGGACAGTGGACAAGGTCCAGGCACCAATAACGTCCGCATCTCGGGGCCCCATTCAAAATTCCCCACCATATTATAATTTGAAGGAAATTTGAAAAAAAAAAAAACGTTTCCCCTTTCCAGTACAGTACCTGACACCGATTCAATCTGACTGGGTTAAAGCTGAGAAGTCAACTTGGAAGCTCATCAGAACACGGTTTAGAATTCTCAAAAGTGCATTAGAATTTTCATGTGGCAAAATTTGAAATCGAGGGATTTTCTGGCAACACAAATCTCACTCTCGATCATAGAACTATTTTCTATTTGCTCTGAAATAGCCTCATACAAAATTGCCGACGGGAAAAACGTGAATGGAGACTATCGTAATTCAATTTTTCAGGTAGGCAGAGGAAATGATGAATTCAAGCCATTCTTCATTCACAATCTTAATTTTCACTGAAACGTATGATTTCGACACTTGCTACTTGAAACTGTTAAGCGATACAGTAAAGATGATTTTCTCTAATTTTTATTCAAGACTACCGTAGATTTCCGCAGTACGTTCTTCAGAAATAAATTTCATTTATGATGAGAAGCACCGCGCAATTATCCGAGCCGATACAGTGAAATATTTGCAACCAAGAGCATCGTATACTCGCATCCTTTCGTTTAATGCACTTGTTTACCAGAAAACGCGGTAATTGACACTTTTTCGGTGGGTCTCGTTCCAGATTTGCCTCGCTCAAGAACTGTTTACTGGCGCTCAACTATTGCCGACAACAGAGCTTTTAAATCACATAAAAAACCAAGATTAACTTTCCTTTTCAGTCTCCAGAACACAGTGAAAATAATTTTGGTCATTTCTTCACGCATTCGCTGGAATCACGAGTGAGACATCGACCTCCTCAGAGATAAAACACTAATTACACCACCGCACACTCTTCATTTTCAGTGACACGTCATACTTAAGATTGTGTCTACTCCCGTCATTTCAATGCACATAACACTTCCTAAGCATCACCTTTCTCACAGAAAAACGTAACGGACTCAGGGGAGTTGATTCAGAAATATCCCAATGAAGAGGGTTCCATGTTTCAAAGTTACCAACAAATTCTTAATTTCCATTTTACGCTTGAACCTGATTAACTAGTACCTGCCGAAGTAAAATGAAGTATTTACAGTACTGTACTGAGGTTCCACGTACCAGGGGTTTTTAGTCCAAAATTTTGATAAAATAAAAAAAACCGCATCCCCAATGTAAGAGGAGGCATCCGATTTCTCTAGAACTGCAATATTTGACAAATGAGAACAACAAGCTTTGAATTTAGACTAATCAATTCAACTAGAATTCCACTGACTAAGTTGTTTCCATAAAAAATAATTTCTTTCTCATAAAATTGGTCCGCAATTTCCCTTAAAAAATAAGAAAAATGCAAACCTAAACGTAAAATTGTATTTTCAAATTGTTTCCCTGTCTATGTCATGGACCCCCTTTCTTCCTCTCAATTTCGAAAACAGGTGCGTGTTGTACTTGATTAAATTTAGCATCTCCCTGTGCTGAATTCTTCTTGAAATTCCCTTAAAAGCAATGAATTAAAACCTACTCCAACTGAAATGCTTCGAATTTTTCAAAGGCTTTTGGCTCTTTTATTTTAAATGGGCACATGAACCCTTGCCTCCAAGTTCAGCTACATGTGAGCTGATTTACAAAGCCTTTCTATCCATAAAAATGTATTAGTAAATTCAACTTCCTTCGATTCTTGCTGCATTCACGGCGAACACGGTAGCTTACCCGACTCAAAAACTCCTTCATCAAATTAGTTTACTGGTCCCTCGGAATTTAGGTTCAACCGCATTTGCTCAGCAGTTTAATTATGTGAATGACTAGCATTGCATTACTTGACGAAAACTCCGAAGTCTCTTACTGGTAAAAAAAAACAAAACGGAAGCAAGTCATTAATATCATATGCAAACTGCTCCACCGGTTCGAATGAGCTCCGGGAAACATGAATAAATCACAAATTCCGAGAACAACAACTCTTGAAATGCTGTGAATCGAACGACTTTTGCGCAAACCCGCATCACAACAAAGATGACTCTTCCATCCCCCGTCAAATGAATGGTCACTACTGTGAAAACACAGGTGATAAATTGGCTTACGAGGAAAGAGGGCCACGGACGACGATTCAAATGCCTTCACGACCATCACGTGAGATTCAATATACAGTACATTAAGCGGGCGATTGAATTACAGTATCTATATTCACAGCTTATTTTCAAAAATAGAATAATATAAAAAATAACAAAAATGCTTTGAGATTAATTTTTTCGGGCACTACGTGTTCGAACAGATTCTTTAAAAAGCCTTCCAAGTATCCATGACTTGGTTCATCCATTTAAAATTTGTACGGCCGATTATCGACCTGATAACCCCATGTTTACTTAACATTGCTTTCAGATCTCGCACAATGCAAAAAAAAAAAAAACTTCAAGAACTCGAGCCTCCCCAAGACGAATACCTCCTAATGACAAATTTTTCTATGTCCCTGCCCGATTCCTATTACGTAAAATGAACTGAAAAACCTCCCCAACTCAACAGGTTTTCTCTCCAAAATCTCCATAACTGGAATTTTCTGGAACCCGGCTCTTATTTTGTTTAACGGGAAAGATAACGGGAAAAATGAAATGATGCTTTTTTGAAAGGAATTGAAAGACAAATTCAACAATTGAATCCTTGTTTTCAATCGCAGCATCTAATCAACTCATTTAAAAATCAATTTCAGGCCAAGAATATCACCAATCAAAATTTTCTGCAATTCTTTTTTTTTTTGCACAACAAAAATGCTTGTTACCCCAATCCGAGTTTTTTTTTCGTCCCTCGAATTTCGACTTACAGAGGTTCGACTGAAACTTTCTAGTTCGATCACTCGTCATTCATAAATTTCGCCATAATAATTGGAAGCATGTCCTCAAAAATATAAACTAACACTGACAGTACATTTGATCCAATCCTCGCATGTTTTAGTCAATCCACAAAAATAAATTCCACATTGCCCTTCGCCAAGTTAATGTCGGGTAAGTACTGAACGGAACCCATCAAACAATTCCCCCACAACATAAGTACTGTAGTACAGTAGTAGCAAGAGAAGACTAGCCATGAAACGTCAGCGGGGATAACGTTAGACCCACAACAGCAATAGGATCGCAACCCGGGATTAATTAACCTCCGATTTGATTAGTCACACACACACACGGGGTCACTTAAACGGTCAGTTGCCGCGAGGAGATCATTAATATATTAAAAAATACAGCAAAAACGGAGAAAAAACACACAGACACCGACACACACACACAGCATTATGTTCCACTTACTCATCATCGGATCTGCCGGCAGCCACGGAGCTGAGTTCCCCAAGGTTCGAAGAGGGCAAAATGAAAAGGGGGGAAAAAGCCAAAATGCCGAACATTAGAGAATGTCCGACAGCAAAAATCGGACGACGACACTTTTCTCGTTTTCTTTTCTTATCTGACTCTTCAAGTTCATTAAAGAAAAAAATAAAAACTGACCACATTACTTCACAGCAACGACATGCGTTTGTCGAGTAGGCAGGGAAGCTGAAAATCATGCAAGGACACGAATACTCGTCTTCGAATAACTTTTCAACGCTTGAGCCCGCTCATCAAAGAACTCCGGCATCTTTCTGGAAGAAACCTTTTCTGTCGGTTCATGTACGAAAGATGGGCGGCTTCGAAACCAAGTTAAACTTTCTCGTCCTTCAAGAATAAATTCGCCGAAGAACCGCACTCAATATGGCCGAGCACGCCAATCCATTTTCGCACTTTCAAGAAGTTACTTCTGAGCACCAGAAGACCAATTCCAGGAGTTGACGCTGTAATAATTATTCAATTTATGCAAGAAATACACAGAGACCTCGACATATCGACGATCTGACTTGGAGATACTCGTCTAAAAAATCTGACCGGAAATTATGACTATGTCTCAAAATACGCACTCTTCCGACATTTCTAAAAAAATTTAAAAATTTCATTTAAAAAAATTTGATAACTCAAACAAATAGAACTATCACGAAGACCAAAATAAATTTCATTCAAACCACTAAAAGTCATCATCAAAAACGGTCTAATTTCGTGCTTTTCCAAGTTTTTTTTTTCAACACGAATGAGAAGTACAGTTACACTTGTTGATCGCTTCTAACAGCTCCTTTTGATGCCAGATCAGATTCGGTGTTGTTTTCTTCAGCAGAGATATGTTCTGTATCTCATCATTTAAATTTTTGTAAACTTTATTCTTAATTCTTGATATACAGGAAACTTGATCAAGTATGTTCCCATTAAAATCTATGGGAACACGTGATCCGACATACAGACGCTCCCAACTAGGCACACTGTCCAAGCACAAATAACGTCAATATCTCCATGCCCCACTATATGACCAACTTTACTTGAATTACAGTAATTGTACTTTCTGTTCGCGAAAAATAAAATGAAATACGTGGGGACACATGTTTCTCCTTGCATGATTTTTCTTTCTCGACTTCCGAACCTCCCCATGAACGTACAGTACTCCGCAATCGCAAAACACTCGATACGGTATGATTAATATTCTGCCAACATTTCAAGACCTTCAGTCCTTTCTGCATCCTTTACCACACAGGGGAGGAGAAATTAAAGAAGACAGAATGAAATTTCGCAAATTTTTTTTCAAGTAGCGTATTCGACGACGACGACTAGAGGGTGGCGAGAAAAGTTACGAGCTTCATCTTTCCTGCTTTCTTCGCGGCTTTTTTATTTTTTTACAGAATTTCCTCGTCACAGCCGTTTCTTACCGAAAAGACTCTGGTTGAACATGGCCTGGTTGTTTTGTGCGGCAGCCGCCGCCGCGGCGGCTTTGGCCGCCGCATCAGAGCCCGACTTGCTCGAAGTCTTCCCTTTGGAAGAGCCTGCCGACAGGGAGAATCCCGCGGCGGACTTCTTGTCCATAATGCTGCAGCGTCCACCTCAACGATAGAACAACAACAAAAGAACGGTTACGTGTTTCCTCTTATTCCACTCGCTCGCTTCCTTTCTCCTATTCTGCTTTTCTGTATTCCTTCTTCTTTGTTCACTGGATGCGCGACACAAAATCGTGGTGTGGCCCCCCGGCAACAGGGCCCGAGACTAGGTCATTCCATTTGCCGGCATATCACGTCACGGGCACTCGATGCCATTTCTATATTCCTTCTTCTTTGTTCACTGGATGCGCGACACAAAATCGTGGTGTGGCCCCCCGGCAACAGGGCCCGAGACTAGGTCATTCCATTTGCCGGCATATCACGTCACGGGCACTCGATGCCAGGTCACAGCGCATTTCTGCGGGAGTCTGCCGAGACTCCGCCACATGACCATCTGGAAAAAGAGTACACATACTTTCGTCAGTACGCCAATAAAAAAGAACTGTGTCCGCAACTCGACAATGGAGCAGAAATATCAGCACCAAACGCGTCACCAAGGTTGACTTCAGAATATTCGAGCACGAAACGAAAACAGCGCACATCAAGAATAGCGATCGCCACCATCAAGATAATCGCGAATGGTAACTAGATTTCAATAGTACAGTACCAAAAACTACTTAGAAGTACTTTTTATATACCGAATTCTTTAACTTGAGTAGTTGGCATATCATTATGCTGTCTGAGATTCGAAATCCGAGCTATGTTTCGAACTCCTTGATGAAGACTCGAAGGGTGAAATGCAGGAAGTAGTGACTTCCACTACCAAAGTGTATCATCCTCTGAAGGACATCTGTCTTTCTTCTACTCGATTTTCGAGAATTGAGTCAAACGATTCCAGCATCCCACGGATTTTTCGTTGCGTGATTTTTTCAAATCACAAAACCACTGATATTGACACGATTTCTGCGTAGGTCGTACTTATTCCAACATCCATGCGTGAGCGGGACGTTTCCCTTCATTTATCAAGGCATTTCCCGAGGTTACCGTGAATTCCGCGACGAACGAATTTCTCCCGTCATCACAGAAATCATGGAAACAGTCATGCTATTCCGTCTTTTCATATTCTCAAACGGCATATGCTTCCGACACTCGGTATTTCCCATTTGACTTCCGAAAATTCATCGATCATCTGACGTTTTATTGTGATGGTTTTAGAACGGGCCACTGAAGCATGAGATCCGACGTAGATACATCGAAGAATATCGAACTATCAGAGTATCAACATTGCACGGTAAGCTCAATCGAACGTAGATATCCGTCAGGTACGAACAACTAAAGAAGGAAGTGGACCGATATGGAAGTAAGAATCCGAATCGGCAGCCTGGTTATATAACCGATCAAAACACCTTCACTCGGCCTGAAAAGCCACTTCCGAAATAGAGTGTTCATGAATCGACTTCAGCAGATAGATTCTACCATTCATCCTCGTAGGTTCATCACTCAGATCGGCCAAACTTCGCCTGGAATTCTCGAACAATGGAGTTCCGTCAGTGAAATTACATGAACCGTTATTCGATTAAATACTGTATCCAAATTTCACCACCAACACAAGAGGCTATTCCGCAAAATGAAAATGTTCACAGACGTAAATCGAATTTCTCCATCCTAATTGTGCTATTACTTCACCAAAACTGAAAAACCTCTGTCGCTGATGTACCTCACCGACAACGATGATTTTCAGGCTACATAAATCATCTTTCATCACTGCTCCATCTTCATATGCGGTAATAGGACTGGTATTTTGATCTTCCCGTGAAGATGGAAGAATTTACGGATCTTCCAGACACATGCAGAAACGTTGAACATCAGATAATCTCATCAAGGTGCAAACGTCACTCGAGGATTTTTACATTTCAACTGCACTGAATACATGTAACCCTGAAACTACAGTAATAAAATGAGAACAATACACCAATCAAGGATAAGACGCGTGCTTTTGAAGCATCAATTTCACACCGTTCATCGTCACTAACTGGGGTCCGCATAAGCAAACTCATGTCGGTCATGCTGAATTACGGTGACACGCCACCTTTACATCAATAGACGATCGTTAGCGCAGTTCACCTTGGTGGGAATAACATAAAGCAGTAATTCTGCACCACTGAGAACAAACACCGCAGAAAAACATCTCTTGCACCGTGACACGACATTATGGTACAACTTCCACACACAGTGACTCCATTCAGCGCTACCTATTCCACGCCACCCCAGGGAGCGCCAGGCTCTCTCTCAGAGCAATTATTGAGTGACTTCAACTGCATGATTTAACAGAGTGAAATATAGGGAGACTCCAAAAGGACAAATAACAGTGCACCTATAGAAAACATTTTCAACATAGATAAACAAAATTCTGAATATAGGAATAAAATTGCGAAAATTCTGCTAGTAAAATTATACCTTTACATTTTTTAGTAATATCCAATAAGATTTCTTGTCATGAAATATCCAAAAAGATTTCTATAGACGCAGCGCAACAAACAGCATGGCACATAAGCATAGAAAAGATTTTAAATAGCAAGTACTGTATAGCAGTGACAGTGAGGATTACCGAATCTATTTTCAAGCTGCGAATAATAAAAATGCAATGCTGTATTCATAAATGGGAATATCCAATTTCCGAAAGTAATCTCACATTCAGCTGAACAAATGAAATTTATTCCCACATCCTCAATTACAGGTATACATCACATCTTACAAACTTTATACCTCAGAAGTTGATTACTACTTACTCCCTGACTACATGAACTTACAGTTGAATAACTTGAATATGTAATGTGGAAGTATACTGCCCACCATGACAAGCACGCTTCTGCAGAAAATGTTGCACATGGAGTGACATCTACAGCAGAAGCCTCGTAGCATCGCAGCAAAGAAATTTACCATTGAAGCACCATAGCGTTCTTGTCCTGATGCTTCTGCTGCGGCGCTTTTGCCGTAGTTCTTCTGCTTTGGCACTTGTGTCGTGGTGCTCATACGTCATGGAACTCGTGGTGCCTTGCACCAGACCAGATGCACCACAGCAGCAGCGCCACGGCAGCAGGGAACGGTCCCCCTCCCTACCTATCACAAACCCAAGTCAAGGACAAATGAAGGTTCCTCTTTTCCAATTTTAAAAATTTTAACCTTCCTCAAACCATCATTGGTGGACCAAACTTCAAATTTGTGGCTGCATTGAAGAGCAGCAGTGAACTTTCCTACATTTTTGTTATTAAACTTTGGAAAAGCTTCAATGTTGACAAAGTTACAGATAAAAAATGAAAAACGTTTTTGAAAACACAGAAATTTGTTGAGTGTTTTCAATGATAATTTTAAAATTTTCCATTGGATCACTCTAGGACACATGAACAGTACATTTATTGAAAAACACCAGTGGGCATCATAATGTGCAAGAATTTTTGAATTCGCATGCACCGAACCAAAGTTCATTACTGTATTGGCTGAAAAGGAAATCATGAATTGAGATTTCCAAAGTTTTGGTGATGTATAGAGCACTGTTTTATGTACCAAACTTTCATGCACCAAACTCTTAACAGCATTTGATGCTCAAAAATTGTTTTTCACATTCTCCTTTTGAAATTTGAAGAAGAGCTTGAATATTGACAAAGTTATTGCCAAAAATATGAATAATTGTATTAAATTTGGAGAAAAGAGTTTAAGTTCTTGATCATGACTGCTGTCAAAGTTTTGAACTCATATCACTTGAAAAAGTTCTAGATTTGTGGAATCTCAGTGCACAAATGCATCCTTGAATACTTTTTTTAATTGAGCACGTTGAAAAAATGTAGAATGAGCTGAAGCGAAAATTGTGAATTCCCAATTTTCATTTTTCAAATTGAAAAAATTTTTAAACCGATTTTTGGAACAAACTCGAATTTAAAAATCCTTGGATGTGCAATGATGTTTCCCAAATTCATGTTTTTTGATGTCATCATTGTTATGATAATTGACAGAAACAAATAAAAACTCTTTGCAAATTCATGGGAAAACTGGAAAAAGAGTTTTTCTTATAAATTATAATGGATTCACATTTTCTGGTTTAAAAATGCTCAAAATTTATGGAAACTTGATCCACATTTAGTCTTGATCCATCAGCAGAGCCTGCAAGGGTTCAACAATAAGTTGGAATTGGTTTCATCAGAAAGTTATCGATGATTGCTGATAATACCCTATGATATATGGATGCTGGTATGTTTTTTGTGGGTGACTGTTATGGGTGAAGCACCCCTCTCCCCCAAAGAACTGCGCCATTTCCCCTATAAAGTACCATTCCATGTGCCCTCCCCCCACCCCCCAGGATGCCGGATGGTTTCTAAAAAATGTTTCTATTTTTCAATTTTAAACCTTGTCAATTCTCCATATTTTCTTCATATTGAACAATAATAAAAACGATAATTACAGCACACATCTGAAGCTATTTTTAAAATTGAAATTGCCTCCATAGAAAAATGTTGCGATGCGATATATATATATATATATATATATATATATATATATATATAAACTGGTGAAGCATGACATGTCTACTATTCCCATTGAGCACAAAAATGTTTTTTTTTGTTGCTAAAGTTATCAAAACCAACTTGTCAGAATTTTTTCAAAATTGGACAACATTTGAACAAGTTGGATTGGGTAGCTTTGGACCAAAATTGGACAACTTATGTCCAATTTTTATTCAAAAGTTATCCAAAAGACAACAGCTTTTAGATGACTTTTGGATCAAAAATGGACAAGTTTTGGAGGGAACTGGGACAACGTTTGGATAAAAATTGGATATATTGTCTGATTTTTATCCAAAACTTGTCCCAGTTCCATCCAAATTTTGTACTTTTTTTCAAAAATTCAACATGAAATAGGAATAAATGTTTTGCAGCCCAATATTCAAGGAGTCAACTTCTCTATTTTTATGAATTAATTAATCTATTAATTTTGAATTTATTTGACTGGACTTATTGATGCATTGATTTCCCCCTCCTATCATATTGATCGTAAATGAGGAATATATTTATTTAGCTTATTCATAATTATATTTATAATCTGTGGATCCAGCTAACTTAGTCAAGATGATATCCTACTTGACCTACAAAAAATTACCCTACCCCACCTGGG